GAGTATAATTAAGTGCCCTGGAATTCCCACTCTTCTCAATGTTATCCATAATTTGTTATGCTACACATAATACAATGCTTTTGCAGAGTTAATAAAACATAAGTAAACATCTTTTTTTGGTATTCTTTGCTTTGAGCCAAGATCTATCTCACATCAGCTATGATATCCCTTGCTTCAAGTCCCCTTCTGAATCCAGCTTGCATTTCTGGAAGTTCTCTGTCAATATACTGCTGCAACCAAATTATCTTCAGTAAGATTTTACTCACATGTGATATCAGTGATATTGTTCAATAATTTCCACATTCTGTGGGATCACCTTTCTTTGGAATGGGTGAAAATACAGATCTTTTCCAGTCAGTTGGCCACGTAGCTGTCCTCCTTGTTTTAAGTGAGTGCCTCCATTGGGGCATCCGTTTGTTAAAACATCTCAATGGGTATCTCGTCAATTCCTGGAGCCTTGCTCTTTGCCAATTCCTTCAGAGCAGCTTTGACTTCTTCCTTCAATACCATTGGTTCTTGATCATATGCCACCTTGTGAAATGGATGATCATCTACCAATTCTTTTTGGTACGGTAACTGTGTAGTCCACGCATCTTCTTTGATGTTTCCTGCATCATTCAACATATTGCCCATTGAACCTTTCAATATTGCAATTCGAGGCTTAAGTTTTTACCTCAGTTCTTTCAGCTTGAGAAATGCTGAGCATGTTCTTCCTTTTTGGTTTTCTAACTCCAGGTCTTTGCACATTTCATTATAATAATTGACTTTGTCTTCTCAAGCTGCTCTTTGAAGTCTTCTGTTCAGCTCTTTTATCCTGTCAATTCACCCATTTGCTTTAACTACTCTCCATTCAAGGGCAAGTTTCAGAGTCTCTTCTGACATCCATTTTGGTCTTGTCTTCTATGTCTGTCTTTTTAGTGACCTTTTGCTCTCTTCATGGATGATGTTCTTGATGTCATCCCATAATTTGTCTCGTTTTCAGTCATTGGTGTTCAATGCATTAGCTCTATTCTTTAGATGGTCTCTAAAGTCAGGGATATCAAGGTCATATTTTGGCTCTTGTGGACTTGTTTTAATTGTCTTCAGCTTCAAGTTGAACTTGCATGTGAGCAGTTGATGGTCTGTTCCACACTCAGCTCCTGGCCTTGTTTTGGCTAAAGATACTGAGTTTCTCCATCACTTCTTGCCACAGATGTAATCAGTCTGATTCTCTTGTACTCTGTCTGGCAAAGTCCACCAGTATAGGCACCGTTTGTGTTGTTGTAAAAAGGTATTTGCAATGAATAAGTTGTTGGTCTTGCAAAATTCTATCCTGTGATCTCCATTGTCATTTCTATCACCAAGGCCATATTTTCTAACTACCACTGATTTGTCTTTGCTTCCAATTTTTGCATTCCAGTCATCAGTGATAATTAACACACCTTGATTGCATGTTTGGTCCATTTCAGACTGCAGAAGTTGGTAAAAATCTTCAATTTCTTTGGCTTTGGTGGTTGGTGCATAAATTTGAATAATAATAGTATTAACTAGTCTTCTTTGTAGGCGTATGGATATTAACTTATCACTGAGAGAATTGCATGTCAGGAAAGGTCTTGATACATTCTTTGTGATGATGAATGCCACACTATTTGTGTTAGACTGGGCTTTCTAGAGAAACAAAACCAGTAAAGCTTGTATATATAGAGAAAGGGAAATTTATTCTAGGAAAATGGCTCACACACTTATAGAAGCTGGCAAGTCCCAAGTTCTTGGATCAAATGTCAAGCTGGAGGCTTTTCCTGACTCATGCAGCTGCTGGGGCTGAGGAGCTCAAGGTTGGTAGGCAGTATACTGGCTGTTGACTCCAACAAATGATGAATCCAAGATCTCCAAGCCGAATGGTGGATTGTTCGCTCATGGACAGTTGTAGGCAGCACAACAGAATCCTGATCCACAGAAGAATGTCTCTTTTCCCAGGATGTCCATAAATATACTGGAAGTGGGCCACACCCCTAGGGAAACTCCCTTTCAGTGAATTGGCTGCTCACAACATATACATCTGAACCCATCCTTGGA